TGTGTGTGTGTGTGTGTGTGTGTGTGTGTGTGTGTGTGTGTGTGTGTCAGTTGGACAGTAGAACACGCCCAACCTCCTGCAGCTATGGAATTCCTACTGAGAGACAACGTGTCTCAGCCTGGCTAGCCAGCACCCAACATTCAGTCCCACACACACAGTCACACTCACTGACTTTTGAAAATACACATTAAGGCTGGACCGGGTCTAATTTTATCCTGTCGGAACAAGAATACACTCGTCCCATCCAAGATCGCCGAGGAATGAGGCAGCCTGCTAAGACTCGCCCTCAGATGAGAGACAGAGGGGTTAGGAGACGGTGAGAGAGCGAAGGAGATAGAGGAGCACCGGAGAAAGCGGTGCATACACTCGCTGGGAATACTATACAGTTTTTATTGTTTACATGGTCTTCTGTAAGACGCAGAAGAGGCCACAAACAGGTGAGTACTTGTGAAGAGCTGATATGAAAGAGGCGAGGGTGTTGAAAAGGTGTTTTGTGGGCATAGGAGAGCGAGAGTAGTGTCTCATGTTCTGTGTGTGGACTCGCTCATTAGGTTGTGTTTTTACAATGTTTGTGATCAGATTACATGATCGACGGTGTGGGAAACAGGGAGGGTCATAATTTAGCCTTTTGTGTCTTCAGTTTGTGGCCTGAGGACTCTCTCAGCTTGTGTGAAATGTCTTTTTATATGACCGTAAAGGCCTCGTGTTTGTGTGTGTGTGTGGGTGTGTGGGGGTGTGTGTGTGTGTGTGCGCGTGTTGGTTAATGTATTCAGGAAAGGAATCTGTATCAAGATATCTTCACGGGTTCAAGGTTCATTAATTATCGTTGTACAACACAGGGTTGCACAACGAAATGTAGTTGTAGTCCCTTAATGCTACGAGAAAAACAAGACAAAAAGGAATTCTGAACATTAAACATGCTATGCCAGAGAAACATCGTCCACTAACTGTGAGCACCAGGCATGACTGTTGCAAACATAAGAGTCCACCTCCCCTTGTCCCACTGGAGTCCTGCGCTCTGTCTTTGAGGAACACAGTCCGCCTTACTAGTGCGAAAGTCCGGTCCGGGATACCGAGACGGTCTCTTTGAGTTGTGGGCTCAACATTCTCTGTTCTCCTGCTTTATTTTGTGTTGTTTGGTGTCGGAGGCTTTGTGTGTAAAGAAGGGGTCATAGGCATACCTTCTGTGCCTGAGCCACATCTGTTATCCGGGGTTTGATATTATGTGGTGTGTCATTGGAGGTCAGACACGGGAAGTGAGGAAACCTTTTTTTTTTTGTTTGCTTCCTGTTTCCTGTCTGTGATGTCACCAAGAATGCAGACTGCAGCTCGGAGTCGATCAAACTGCTTGCTCTGCAAGACTGGAAGAGTTGCGTTAGTCGCTGTGTGTGCATGTGCATGTGTGTGTCGCCATATTAGGGTAATGGATAACACTCAGCGTGTCAGTGGTGGAAGAAGTACTCCTATCAAGAACCAATATAAGTAAAAGTTCTTCCAACTTAATACGACAAAAACGAGCCAAAAAGATTAGGAAACCACTGGTTTAATACATAACAGTGCATTGTATTGCATATGTAGTGGAGTGGAAGTATAAAGTATCATGAGATGGAAATACTCAATACTCTACACATCATGTTTCTGTTCTTCACTCCTCTCCCTTTAACTCCAGTTGTCATACGCCTCTCTCTCTGCGTCTGCCTTTCTCTCTCAGTCTCTCTCTCTCTCTCTCTCTCTCTCTCTCTCTCTCTCTCTCTCTCTCTCTGCCTCTGCCTTTCTCTCTCTCTGTCTCCCCCCCTCTCTCTCTCTCTGCCTCTCTCTCTGCCTCTCTCTGCCTCTCTCTCTCTCTCTCTCTCTCTCTGCCTCTCTCTCTGCCTCTGCCTTTCTCTCTCTCTGCCTCTCTCTCTCTCTCTCTCTTTCTCTCTGCCTCTCTCTCTCTCTGCCTCTGTCTCTCTCTCTCTGTCCCTCTCTCTCTCTCTCTCTCTGCCTCTTTTCCTTCCTCATTCATGCGTTACCGCGAGCGAGACTCAACACGTCACTTTGCCCATTCAGCCTCGCTTCCTGTTCACACTCTCTGTTCCCTTCGCTCCTACACTCGCCACTGACCCACACATTGTGGCATGGATGGATTAGTTAGGTCTGTGTGAGTATTTCTTAACTTTTTGTTTAGTTTGTTCAAAGTTTATTTGTCTGTGTAATGTAGGCTAAGCTGTGCTCGATTTGCAACCATTTGTCAGAAGCACTTTGGGCTAACGTGTTTAGCTTTGACTAGCATTGTGAAATATAAAAACGGGAAGTAGTGAAGCGGTGATTGAGCGTGCGACAGACTTACTGTGTTTCTTCTATGCATCGTCATTTGTGTCGCCTCATCCCGCCTGTGCAGGTGTACGTGTGTGTAGATGTGTGACAGCGGAGTGTGTGAGGACAAGCCCCCCGCCCCCCCTGTCAGGATGAGCAGCCAAGGAGGAGGAGCCAAGGACCCCCAGTCGGCCAATCACAGCTCTCGGCCGCTGCCGTCTGTGCCTGAGGAGAGGAAGTCTAGAAACAAGATCATCTCCATGTTTGCCTCTGAGAAAGGTGAGAGATGTGGACACCTACAGTAAAAAAACAAAATCACACACGCTGCAGTAGATGACCAACACGTTGACCCTTGACCTGCAGGAGGCAGGAAGAAGGACCGGGACAAGGACAGACCTGAGATCTCCTCCCCCTCCGACTTTGAACACACCATCCATGTGGGATTTGACTCAGTCACTGGAGAGTTCACTGTAAGTATCTTAACATAAATACTGTGCGATGTGCTTGTTTGTATTTGTGACCTTTATTTGGACTATAGTAATCTCGTTGTTTTATGGGTCGATCTCTGTACGCATTTGACAATGTGTGTGTGTGTGTGTGTGTGTGTGTGTGTCTGTCCAGGGCATGCCGGAGCAGTGGGCCCGTCTCCTTCAAACCTCCAACATCAGTAAATCAGAACAGAAACAGAATCCTCAAACTGTTCTCGACATCCTCAAGTTCTACGACTCCACCAGTGGAAAACAGAAATACCTCAGTTTTTCCGCCTCAGGTCAGTTTTCTTTTTTGCTCAGCATATAAATAAAAGTCCAAATGTTGTAACTGCGCAGACTAACTCGTCCGTCCGTACACTTTCTCTCTTTCAGATAAAGACTCGCAGTCGGTGAGGAGTTCCGTTCATAACTTCCGTTACATGACATTGAGTACATTCATAATATATGTCTGAATGTCACTCGATTTTAATCTACTTTTTTTTGGTGTTGCAGCCAGGCAAGCAGGGCACAGCGACCTCCCCATCAGGTGGCAAAGATGGAGACGATGATGATGACGACACACCCCCTCCAGTGGTGGCACCGCGGCCAGAACACACAAAATCAGTAAGTCAAAAAAATGATGATGTTATTGTTTTTTTTAAAAACTTTGAACTACAGGAAAGTAGCATTTTGAACGACACTTGGGAAACTGAAAGCAAGCAGCTAAAACTAAGAAGGTCAAGATCACCCGAGGTGTTGCTGAAATGTTTCTCTCAGGTGTACACGAGGTCGGTGATAGACCCGCTCCCAGCTCTAGAGGTAGACGGCGCCTCCAAGGCAGCTGACAGACAGAAGAAGAAGGGAGGAGGCAAGATGACTGACGAGGAGATCATGGAGAAGCTCAGTATGTAAAACACACGTGCAGATTCGTGCTGGGAATGACTCATCGAAGGTGTAGCCACGTACTATTTTTGGCTCCAGTAGAGCTGGCCAAGCTAATTATTATTTTGTTTTTGTTATGGCTCCTAGGAACTATTGTCAGCATTGGAGATCCCAAGAAGAAATACACTCGCTATGAGAAGATCGGCCAGGGGTGAGTCCGAATCCAGGATGGTGTGAACATTGAAGATCGGCAGGAATTTGACGGAGGCTGTTTAGTGGGTTGCCGGTCCAAACTGACCAAAAGGAGGAGATTGTTGACGGTTATTTCACCTCTTACGCTTTGTCACTTTCAGGGCGTCTGGCACAGTTTATACAGCCATAGATGTCGCCACAGGACAGGAGGTAAGACTACTTCCCCCTTTGTATCTGCCACTAAGAAAATCATTAGAGCCATGAACCTGGACATGAGCACAATATGTCTCCTTTAATGTTGAGGCTGGACTGTAAAAAGCCCAAACATCAGTGGGAGAATAGTGAAGGAGTACTTTTTAGCAATAGAAAGTAACTGGAAGAAATCGCTGTAAGTTAAAGTGCTTATTCCTGTAATCGCAGCATTCTAAGGTCAGCCATTTCAATAAAGATATTTTCTCCTTGGAAACTTATAAGAGGAGAGTTATCTTTACCTTGCAAGAATACCTCCATTCAAAACACAGACTAAAAACCTCATTTCTAGCCTAATCTGTTTTCTCTTGGCAACTTGACATCTTCCAACATTGACAGTCCAGATTTCAGGAAGTTAAAAAGTATTAGCTGTACCTCGTAAGTAGCCACATGGCTTGCTTGTATCGGTGGTTCCGCTTTTACAGGATGTCGTGTTCTGCAGGTGGCCATCAAACAGATCAACTTGCAGAAGCAGCCGAAGAAGGAGCTGATTATCAATGAGATCCTGGTCATGAAGGAGATGAAGAACCCCAACATTGTCAACTTCGTAGATAGGTAACGCTGACCGAACACAGACAAACGTACGGTACACATCCACAGCACCTAGCTGACTGCTTTGTTGATGTGACTCACTGTGTGTGTGTGTGTGTGTGTGTGTGTGTGTGTGTGTGTGTGTGTGT